TTTTTTTGTCACAATGCATGCCATCATTTCAGATAAAGATTCGAAAATAACTTAAGTCATTGAAAACAATACAGATCTACATGAATTGAGTCAGTTTTTTTACATTGATTTACATAAAAACTTGGTTTTGAAGAAGAAAAATGAGAATGACGGAAAGAATTATAGCTGTTTGATCAAAAATTCTATAAGGATGATTTTTCGTGACAACGAAAAGAAAACAAAAAAAAGGTATGTGTAGCTTTATACTCATGGCACGATGAATTAAAAGAACTATTTACTTTATTATCACATAAAAAGATACTAAGCGTCTTATATCTTTGTCATTAAATAAACTAAAAAAACTTTAAATTTTGAATAAACAAATATACTTATGTCTTTATAAAAATTATCGTTTTTTGAAAAATTAAAGCTAGCAATTTCAATCTCAATTAGATTTCAAACTCACCTTCGACATCTACCCAAGACGAGCATTACGACAGTCGTAGACGATCGTGTACGACGTCGTATGCGATCGTGTACGGTCGTATACGGTGTACATTACGATCGTATACGACCGTATTGCACCGTATTACTTGACGCCAGAATTACGACCGTATATAGTCGTGTCGTATACGACGAAATACGACGTGTATACGATCACTGTAAACGATCGTAGATGGTCGTATACAACGTTGTTTATCATCGTATTTCGCATAAGCTTTTCATACCTGCCCCCCCCCCCCACTCTCCAAATAATACAAAACTAATCTTTCGGGGGAGCCCAGTCTAGCTGGACACTCCCATTTAATTAAGTTCATATTTACCCTTCGATTTATCCCTATAAATAATCTAAACATAAAAAAAAAGATTTGTTTACATAAAATAATACTTACTTTTCGTTGTCATTGTGAAAAATCTAAAAGTAAAAAATAAAATTTATTCAAATAAATTAATACTTACTTTTCAATTTATCGTTGTGAAAATCTAAAAATAAAAAATAAAAATTATTCAAATTACTACTTACTGTTCGGTTTATCGTTTGGAATAATCTAAACATAAAAAATAAAATTTATTTAAGTAAATTAATATTTACTGTTCGTTTTGCCGTTCATATAGATTTAAATAATAAGAAAAAAAATTTAATTTAAAATAATACTTACTGATCGTTGTGTCATCGAGATGCATCTAAATATAAAAAAAAATTGTTTCATATAACAAAACATACTTACTGTTGATTGTGCAACTGTAACGGATATAAACATAAACAAATTATTTTATAGAAAGAAAACTACTTAACTTTGAACATGAGAAAAAGACGAACGTATACGAACGCCGTTTACGATGGTCGTATTCACCGGTCGTTTACGACAACCGTATAGCATCGTATTGCATCGTGTACGATTGACGTATACAGTCGTCGTATACGATCATCGTAAAACGTCGTCTTTTTTTGTATACGGTCGTTTACGATCGTGCCTTTTCAACCTGGATAGTTCAAGAATTATATTTTTTTCTTCTTCATTAACTTCAACTGTTTCAGTAAATTTATAATTTAACTTTGACCGTTCAATATTAAGACATCGATGATCATCTGTTTGCCATTGATAAACAGTTGTATTTCCATTCTCAATTAACTATTTTATAATTGGTAAAAATTGTTCATTATCAGATTTCGAAGGTGGATGGAAATTTTCAATTAATTCTGTATCAAATTTGACAGCTGGTTTTAATAATAGTATTGAGCATTGATCTCCATTAGCTGATTTCGAAAATATATAGGGTAAATATTCAATACATTGAATTAATTCTCGTTGAATATAATCACCCTTAAGAGAATAAGAATTTGTTGACATTTGCCAATTTGTTTTATTAATGCAAAAATTTCAAAAGCAGCATTTCGTTGAACAATTTGAACACTTTCAACTAAATATGTCAAATATCAATAAAAGAAAAATAGACGCAAAACAAAATCAGAATGAATTGTTATGAAAAAAAAACAAATCAAGATAAAGAAAATTCTTTTCATAATTTGAAACAATTATTCGCCAATCCTAAATATTTATAAAATAATAAAAATACAAATTGATTATTTAAAAAAACCTTCCTTCGCTTTGATGAATGCATGCCAAACATATTTTTACTTTCTTTTTCGGTTGTTTTTAATATTTCAACAATTTTAAGACAACAAACATAATCTGAATCTAAAAATTGAATAAAAAATAAAAATGTAATAAATATTTAATTTATACATGATGATCCAAGTAATCTTTTGATTTTATCATGTTCTGGCATATGTAATATAGCTTGTTAAATTTTCGATCGAATAGCTATTAATCGTTCATTGCAATCTTTTGTACAATAACGGCGATCGACTAACCAATCTGTTAAATGATCAATCTTATTATTATTTAAAAAAAAAGAAAAGAGATAATCATTGACCTAACCAACAAGTTTAATTAGATGAATATCGATAGTACTATCATCAACAGTCATTATAATATCTTCCAAGAAAAGAAAAAAATGCAAATTTTTATTTTTAAAATCGATGAGAATTTCTGATAAAATAATGTAGAATGAGGAAAACAAATTGATATATCAATCCTAATATTTGTCCTCTTTATTAAATGAAAAATTAATAGAGAAGAAAAATGAACTAAAACAAAACATCAATTGGAAGATATTTGACGCCTATTAAACGTTCTTGATATGTTACTAAATATTTCCTTTTCATTGTTTTATAAAGTTAAAAGAAAAAACTAAAAATGATTTACTTAAAGTAATTTATTATCATTTTCTTGTTGTTTCGTTGCAGATTTTTCTTCACTTTTTTAAAAAGTAATTTCCAAACACGTCTAAAAGATTTTTCAATTAAATTATATTTATAAAGAAAATTTGTTAATTTTCCATCTTAATTATGAATACCTTTTGTAAAGTTTTTAAAATATTTGTTAAATAATTAGTTCGATGTTTCACTATTAATTGTTGATAAATCACATAAAGATATTCCTAATGATCGCTATGACCTGCATCTTCACATGTGGTCATAAGGATTTTCCTCTATAGCTATATGATTATGCGACATATGCTTATTCTCTTCTCTTAGTTATACGTGATGAATTTTTCATGTCCTTTTGTTCTCTTTTCTTTCATGTTCATCTACACTAAAAAAAAAATAATGTACCATACCGAACAAAAAGGTTTCGAAGAGGAAAATAAGGTTTCGCAAAGGAAAAAAAGGTTCCGTGGGACGTACGAAACTTTTAAAAGTTCCGAATTTTGAAACGAATTCTAAACCTTTTTTGGGTTTCGTGTCAAACCCCAAAAGTTTTACGGAACCTCCAGGAAAAGCTCCTCGGTCGATAACAAGCATTTTGAAGGGGTCAAAGATTTTTACGAAACCGGTTGAAAGGTTTAGAATTCGTTTCAAAAAAAGTTCGGTATGGTACCTTTTTTTTTCAGTGTATGTATATTCTTCTCTTGTTGGATTTTCCATCTCACGGATTTTCATTTGCATCATCTATGGGACTTTTTCATTCCATGGATTCTTCCCTTTTCTTCTCGTCCTATATATACAGTTGTTAAGTCATTATAAAAATTATATAGATATAATTACACAAATAAAGTATAAGTGGGATTAACATCTCACAATTGGTGCACTAGCCGATCTCACTAACAATTTAACAATCTAGTAAGAGACTGAGAGTCGTAGATGAACAACAACGGACGAAAATATTATATTCGAAGCATGGCACAAACGCAAGAATTTGCTTCAATACCTGATTCTGACTGCAAATCAAAAGGGGAACCATCTTCAACATACGTGAAACAACAACAAATACAAATGGATGACCAATACGATAATAGACAAGGGCAAATAAGCATACAACAACCAACTGAAATTATGTCAGTATCACAACAGTTATTGGTTAAACAAGTTTTAGTGCT